CGATTATGTGTGAGCTTGAGATTTTGTCCTACGTAGTGAAACCCGGTATAGCTCAATGCAGTTGAAATACTGAGTGGACGAATTCTATTGATTCTATCGCACGGTGTGAAAGTGTAGCTCGTCATGTTTCTGTCTTGTTGTGGTATCACGATTTCCGATGCTCTGTTGGGACACGGTTCGTAGAATACGGGCCTATCTGCTTGCAGAAGCTGCCTTACAATCTCGGCAGCTACGACCGCAACCTTAAGGTAGTAGCATCCTGCAGGCATCCCGCAAATTGGATCATGACAGCTTGCTGTCTGGAAGATTTCTCCGACATAAAGTACTGGTGAAAGGAAGATAAGGAAGTGATTTAAGAACCCTGCACAGGTCCAAAGAAGGCTTGATGAGGCCTTTTAAACTTATCTTCGGTCCAAGGGCTTCTTGCAGTAGCCTTCTTCCGTGAATCAGGGGACCACAATCCAGGCCCCAAATGCATATGCCCAAAAGGGACCCCCTGGTGTCGCAAAGCCCCACATCTGAATTTTGGAGGTGTTTCATGTGGTCGGTCACGACGTTCTGCAGAGCGCTGCTTGATGAAATCACAGCGTTGCAGCGGCTGAAAGTTGGTCATGCCTGCAGCGAAAAGTATGTAGAAAATATGCTGACTAAGTGCATAACCTTGAATTTATTTCCCATGTTGAGGAACCGTCGGGGGATGTAGTCGGATATAGGTGCCGCGGTATGTCTGAAAGCTTTGCGTTCATCTTATGTGTACTCCAGCCAGCCAGGCAGGACATTACATGGTTCATCCTAAGGGTCGGCTTTGTGTGCACTTTTCTGGCCAACGGAGGTCAGCTACCTGGATATTGAACTACACGAGATCCTACTTACGCTTCGAGGTAATTACTTCGCATGTGCTACAGTGCGGCTTACGTTTCCTGTGCCACTTGCTGCATGCCCACCAAGGTCTTGGAAGGTTACAACACCACGATTTTTGCACACGGACAGACAAGTTCGGGAAAGTCCCGGACACTGCCGCGTGGCAGGAAAGTTCAGGTTCCATGGTTCACACCGAGTTTGTGAGGCTTTGTTTCAAGGTTCTGGCTGTTGAGTAAGCAGTGCTGCAGCTGACAATGTGCTAGTGTTGTGAGATATGCAACTAGGGTCACCCCGAGACCAAAATCCAATTCGCTCTGAGAATCGATGTGCTTGCCCGTTTGTCCCACCCAATTCCCCTCAGACTTCCTGTATGCCAGCTATGAAAACGCATATTATGAGCAACTGCGTTGATTATCGTGTAGGAGCCAAGAGCAGGCAGAGATCAAATTCAGAGACATGAGCAAAACCCTAGTAAAG